TTTTTGAGACAGGGTCTCACTATGTAGTTGAGACTGACCTGGAAATCACTGTGTAGCCCAGGCTGGTCTTGAACGCGCAGCAATCCTCCTGCCTCAGCCTCCTGAGTGCTAGGATTACAGGCATGCGCCAACACACCCAGCTTTACTTCATTTATTTACATTACTCCTAAATAATTAATGTAATTATTTATTACATTAACTCCTTGGAGAAATTTTTAGTCCTGAAAACCACCAACTCAATGATAACAGAACATGCATTTCACTGGGCTCCTGGCCTGCCACTTTACAGAGGTCATCTCAGTTACATCTTACAAAACCCTCTGAAAGCAGGCATTATTATTGTCCCCTTTGACTGCTGAAAAAACATCAGTCTGCATGATCCAGTTATGTCAACTCTTGAAGTTCTTTAGACATGTTAGGGGCCTGGGGATGTAGGTCAGTGGTGAAGCATTTGCCTAGTATATGAGGCTTGGGGCTCAATCCCTAGTACTACCAAAACATTTAAAAATCTGGGCATGTGGGCTGCCTTTGGTTATGATTTTATTTCATTTAACAAACACTTACAGTATACTTATTAAGTTCACAGGTTTACAAATCCTAACTTATCCAAATAATAATACAGGAACCGAGTTGATTTGTAAAAAATTGCCCTTCTTATTAAGTCAAATTTACAAATCCTGGCCATTTCATATGGTTCAACTTAAATGCTACTATTATTCCCATTTTATAATAGAAGGAACCACAGAAAAAAAGTAAGTAACTTCCCCAGAGCAATGGCACAATTCAAACTGTGCTAGCAGGCTGGCTCGAGTCTTGCTCTTGACCAGCATACTCAACTGCTTTCAATCATGAAACTGAACTTTTCACCTATGGCAGCATCAGATTACCAAACAGCTAAATCTCTGGACTGCTGCTTCTGCTGGAGGCTGCCTCCAAGTGCTCAGGCAGAGATTCAGAGACTGCTTGCGGCCCCCTTCACTTTTTTTGGTGTGCTCATGTGTGCACAGTACTGGGGATCAAACCCAGGGACCCACTAGGCAACTGCTCTTCAACTGAGCTGCACCTGCAGCCCTGTTTGTATTCTCTAGGATGACTCTACCTGCGTAGGTCCACTCATCAGGCTTTCCCAATGCCTGGGGGAGATGTACTTCTCTAGGTGCTGTTCTCGAAGGACACCACGCATGGTGCACTCCAGGGTCTGAGCACCTTCATGGAGCTCTTGTTCTGACTCCTTCATCTCTGTCACAATCTGCAAAGAACAGAGGAAAAGAGATGATGAAGAAGTATCACCCTCTCCCTCACTCAGTCCTTGCCCCAAGGGAAAATAAAGCTAAGAAAAGAAACTTAAGAAAGATGAATAAATAGATCAGTCAACAAACTGGTTTCCAAAGCACATTACTGTATTTTTTTTTTTTTTTTTTTTTTTGTACTGGTGATTGAACTTGGGACCTTGTACTTGCACAGCAAGTGCCAGCACCACTGAGCTAAATCCCTGGCCCGAGTTACTGTATTCTTTGGTTTTGTTTGTTTTTGAGACAGGGTCTCACTATGTAGTTGAGACTGACCTGGAACTCACTATGTACCCAAGCCTGGTCTGGAACTCACAGCGATCCTCCTGCCTCAGCCTCCAGAGTGCTGGGATTACAGGCGTGCACCACCATGCCCAGCCTATTACTGTATTCTTAAAACCAAAAAATTAGTATCTTCAAGAACACCTACCAATCAATAAGAAAAGGAAACCAGCAATACAACAGTAAAACAGGTCAAGGATTTCATGCAGACTTTAAGCCTCATAGTATCTGTTGTTCCATAGTAGTAAGAACTCATTAAAACAAGAAAACAACAACAAAAAAAACCCTTTTTTAAGAGAAAGGGGTCTATGTTGTTTAAACTGACCTCAAAATCCAAGCGATCCTCCTAACCCAGACTCCTAGGTAGCTGGGGCTGTGGACATGTGCCATCACATCAGCCTCAGATTTTTGACTGGGTACACTGTTGCTCAGCTAAAAGATGACATTTCCTTCGTTTGTGGCTGTATGTAAAAATGTGGGAAGGTTTTGAAAGAGTAACCTTAAGGTCCTGGTAGAAGTGGGAAGGGACAGTGTGCCCTTCTTCACCCTTTAACTACTTTGGTTTATCAGGGCACAGGTTGTACCAAGGGACCAGCAGAACGAAATATTGGAAAGCACTCAAAAGAGCTCTTCATGTGTGGGACCTTTGTATCTACCTGAGGCAGCCTACTCAGAAAGTCACTACTAATTTGTTCCTCTGAGCTATTTCATGTATTCTACAGCTGAGACTTACACTCATATAAGCTCTTCGGAGGTGCATGGGAAGGTTGCGGCGGAATTCTCGCTTGTTTCTCAGCTCCCTAAGGGTGAACTGCTTCAGGATTTCACTGTTGCTCCTTCCACCCACCCGTACGATGCTGGTCTTCTGACACTTGTAGATGCCTATGGAGGAAAGTGGAAAAATCACAGGGTTAAGAAGAGCAATGCCAGGCCAGGGATTTAGCTCAGTGGTTCTACCGCCTGCCTCACAAATGCAAGGACCTGAGTTTGATCCCTGGTATCAAAAAGAAAAGAAAGAAAGAAAGAATAAAATAGAACAGTAATGCCAAGCTTTGTCAGATGAGAGTTGTATGTTTGGGATCTTATCTCAACTGATCCTTCAGGGAACAAAATTCTGATTATAGGAAATTTTACCCCATTAAAGGGCAAGAAAGCCCAGAGAATACATGAGCTACAGAATAGTGACATGCAGAGCTTAGGAGCACAGGCTCTAGAATCAGACAAGGGGAGACACAAATCTTGGCTCCAAAACTTACTACTGTATAACCTGGGCAAATTACTTAACTTGTATTTTGTGATCTGGAGACAGTAAAAATTCTCTTATAGTGCCATAGCCTCCATAAATGAAACAATTATTTTTATAATTTGTAGCTAGGACTTGGCACTAAGCAAGCATCAAGTGTTATCTACTATGCAGATTTAATGACTGCTTATATGTTCCAGATATATGCCATGCGCTGGAAGTACAGTATCAAACACAAACTCAGTTTTTGATCTGTTCTCCTATCTTTTATTCTAGCAGAGAAGATACTCATTAAACAAGTTGTTTTATTTATTTATTTATTTTTTTTTGGTTTTTTGAGACAGGGTCTCACTATGTAGTTGAGGCTGACCTGGAACTCACTATGTAGCCCAGGCTGGTCTTGAACTCACAGCGATCCTCCCGCCTCAGCCTCCTGAGTGCTGGGATTACAGGCGTGCGCCACCAAACATTATAATGGCAATAAATACAAGTACTTTAAGTACATAATGCTGTAAGTGCATAGCAGAGGATCTTACCTAATCTGGGTGGGGTGGGGATTTATCCTTAAGGATCTAATATAATATTTAAAATTGAGATTTTTTTTTTTTTTAATACTGGGGATTGAACTTGGGACCTTCCACTTGTGAGGCAGGTGGCGGAACCACTGAGCTAAAATAAATACCCGGCCCTAAATTGAGGTTTTAAGAATAAAGACTTATCTAGGTGAAAGGAAGGCATGGAAGAATGAAAAAAATCTAAGCAAAAGGAAAAACATGCATTTTGTTTATTAACGCAATTAGTATTTTCTGAGTGTGTGATATGGGCCAGGATCTGTGAATACAGTAAGAAACTTGACCAGCACTTAAGTTTATGGTCTGGGGCAAATTACCAAAGGAAAAAATAAAAAAGGAGACTTGACTTTATATGGCAGCAATGGGTAAAGTCCACCTGAGAGATTTAAGGTAAAACCTGAAGAATGAGTTGGAGCCAACCAGGGTGGATAATTCAAGTTGGAGAGAGGGAGAAGAAAAGTACATTCCAGGCAGGGGGACATGACAGCCAAGGGAGAAGCTAGAAGTCAAGGAAATGAAAGTATTCAGTGCTGCTGGGGTTCAGGGGAATAAATGAGAGGAAGTACAGAGTTCGGTTGGGACAGATCCACACAACCTTGCAGGTCTGGGCAAGAACTTATTCAAAGAGCAATAGAAAGCTCCCAAAGTTGCTAACGATTCATCTATAAATGTCTTGATAGAAAGTAATTTTGCTTATAGACAGTACCTTCCAGAAACTGGTCCAAAGCATGATTAGTATAACACACAACCAAGATGGGGAACTTCTGTGGGCTAATTTGCCAAACAGATTCATTGGTGAGAAGGGCCTGAACAATTTTTAGACCCACGTAGGTTTTGCCTAGAAAATAAAGGAAAACAAAAAGTTTAAAAATGTAGACTGCATAAAGGAGTAATTATTGAGAACAACTGTTTATTTGGAGGCAGGGTCTCTCTGTTGCCCAGTCTGGCGAACTAACTTCTGAGCTTAAGCCATTCTCCTTTCTCAGCATCCCAATAAGCTGGGACTACAGACGTATGCCACTGTACCTGGCTTTTTTTTTCTAATTTTGAGGTAATACACTAAGATGGTGTAAAATCTAAGTAGCACAAATGAGTATACTGTGAAAAGTCTTCTCTCCAACTGGTTTGTCTCAGTGGAAGCAACCAAGGTTCCTGTGAAACTTTCCAGATAGTCTATGCATATACCATTATGAATATGTATTCATTTTTTAGCCTTTCCTTTTCTTTTCTTTTCAGACAGGGTCTCACTATGTAGTTGAGACTGACCTGGAACTCACTATGTAGCCCAGGCTGGTCTTGAACTCACAGTGATTCTCCTGCCTCAGCCTCCTGAGTGCTGGGATTACAGGTGTGTGCCATCACGCCTGGCAACCTTCCCTTTTCTTAAAAGATACAAATAGTAGCAGACTCTCTTCACTGTTCTACATCTTGCTTTTTCATGTAATATAGCTTGGAGGTTGTTCTTTATCAGTATATAGAACATTCCCCCCAACAGCCAGTTTCCTAATGATGGAAATATATGTTGTTTCTAATTTCATATAACTAATTCATTAGAAATGCTCTCTTTATGGTAAACCTGTCTTTGTGACAAGAGGGAAAACTCACAAAAATCAACATTTATTTAAGTCAGAATTATAGACTTATAAGTAATTTGCCATTAATTAAGCCTACAAACCTCTAAAATGTTACACTGTGTCAGGCTGAAGTAGCCACTGTAGTCAAAAATACAAAGGTGAATGATCTAGGAAAAATGGAAGTTTCAGTATAGCACAATAAGTCATTTCTTCCTTCTTTTCTTTTTTTGATCCAAGTTCTCATAATGTAGTCCAGGCTAGCCTTGAACTATGTACCTCAGGCTTACCTTTGACTAGCAATCCTTCTGCCTCAGCCTCACAAGTGTTGATACTGCAGGTGTGTGCCACCATGCCTAGTTCTTTCTTCAAATAATATTTATGGAATGCCTACTAGATGTCATGCACTAGGCAGGAGCAAGAAATACAAAAATGAGCAAAATAAACATGATTATCACTCTCCTGACTTATAGAAGACAAAGATAATAATCACAAAAATATAAAACCATAAATATGAGAAATACACAGTATCCAATTCTACACAACGAATGTAATCAGTATGTATTGCAAACATATGAATGCGCGTGCATGTACACGCACACCCATACACACACAAAACCAAACATGGTACCCAGAAAACATGTAAGATTCTGGCCTAGTCAATGAGATTAGGAGAGGTTTCCCTCATGAAGTAAATAAGAACAGGCAAGAGGGATTAGGAATGGACTGGTTGGGCCCCTGACTTCTTCCCGATGAGTGAAGGCCCAGGCCTACCTTTGTGGAGATCAGATAAATAGGTAGACAGGAGAAAAGTTTCAGGATTGCCTGATTGGGGATGGTGAGTAAGCAGAAAGAAGTAATTCCCAGCTTGGAGTTGTAGAGGACAAGAAGGATAGGGATACTGTAGTAGGACAGAATCTTTGTAATTCAACATTTACTTCTGCCTGCCTTGCAAGCACAAGGTCCTGAGTTTCCCGGTACCAAAAACAAAACAACAACAACAACAACAACAACAAAGACATTTATTGACCCCTCCCCCCGGGCTTCTTTCTCCTTAGGGTAACTTCTTGTAATTTCCATCTCCAAATAACCCCCTTTACTAGTTTTCTCCCATACTCACAAGTAGATCCCTTACTATTATGTTTTACACTAGCCTCAAATGATTAATAAACTTATAAATGAAATCTTAAGTGATAACACTAGAATAAATTATTTGTAATGTGCATATTTCAAATATATAAACGACTCCTATGTATCAATATAAAATTCAACAGAAATATGGGCAAAGACTATTAAAAGGCAATCCACAGGACCATAAATATAATTATCTAATAAATACAAGAAAGAATATTACATTTCTTTCTTTTGTTTTAGGTTTTTTGAGATAGGGTCGCTCTATGTAGTTGAGACTGCCCTGGAACTCACTATGTAGCCCAGGCTGGTCTTGAACTCTCAGCAATCCTCCTGCCTCAGCCTCCCAAGTGCTGGGATTACAGGTGTGTGCCACTATGCCCAGATTAAATTTCATTCTTTATTGAAGATATAATCACTGTAGTGTACATAGGCAGAGAACAATCTGGCAATAATGCATCTATTAAAATTATAAATACAGGGCCAGGGATTTAGCTCAGTGGTTCTGGTGCCTGCCTTGCAAGCACAAGGACCCCAGTTTGTTCCCTGGTAACCCCCCCAAAAAAAAACCCAAAAAAACAACAACAAAAAAACCATACTTTTCTTGATCCAGTTACGAATTTCTCTTCTGAATATACTGTTTGTGTGTAAAGTGATAGACAAACAAGGCTATTCAATATACTATTGTAATAGTAAATCTTTCCACAGTGAACTGGTTATAATTATCATCTAATTGTACAATGGGATATATACAGTGGAGTATTGTCACAAATAATAAAACACTCCTTATATGTACTAATATGCTTTTTTTTTGGCGGGGTGCCAGGGACTGAACTCGGGTTTTGCACTTGCAAGGCAGGCCACCAAACCACTGAGCTAAATCCCAGGCCCTTATATATACTAATATGAAAAGATCTCCAGGGATTTAGCTCAGTGGTACCACCACACATGCCTTCCAAGTACAAGGTCCTGAGTTCGATCCATGGTACCGCAGGTTAGCGGGGTGTGTGTGTGTGTGTGTGTCTGTGTGTGTCTGTGTAGTGAGCCATTATTTGTTAAACTATAATATTAAAAGTACGGAGCCAGGTGTGGTGGTGCACACCTGCAATCCCAGCTACTGGACAGCCTAAGGCAGAAGTGTCAAGCTTGAGTCCAGGCTTGGCAACTCAGCAAGACCCAATATCAAAATACAAAAAGGGCTGAAGATGTAGCTCAGTGAAAAGGCCCTGGGTTCAATCCCCAGCACTGTTTAAAAAAAAAAGCCCAAAATTTTAACCTCTCAGATGAGCAAAAACTAAAAAGACTAATAATATACAGCTATGCTAAAAAAGGGTATTAGGAAATGGGAATGTTAATTCATTCCTGGTGGAATATAAACTGGTATATTTTCCTTCTTTTTTAAAAGGCTCTCAAAATATCACTTTAAATTATGCATATTTTCCATCTGATAGGTGTTTCTATTGACTTTTTCTTTTTGGTACTGGGGATTGAACTCTGATCCTTGTGCTTGCAAGGCAGGCAGCAGAACCACTGAGCTAAATATCCGCAGCAAATTTATATTGTTTTGTTTTTGGTACCAGGGATCGAACTCAGGACCTTGTGTTTGCAAGGCAGATGGCAAAACCACTGAGCTAAATCCCTAAACTTTTTTTTTTGAGACAGGGTCTGTCTCACTATGTAGTTGAGATTGACCTGGAACTCACTATGTAGCCCAGGCTGGTCTCGAACTCAGTGATCCTCCTGCCTCAGCCTCCCGAGTGCTGGGGTTACAGGCATGCGCCACCACACCCAGCCCCTAATCTTTTTTTAAAACAGCCTCACTAGGTACCCCAGGCTGGCCTTGAACTCACGGTGAATCCCTTGCCTCAGCCTCCCAAGTGCTGGGTAGCCAGCCCCACCACAGGAGGCTGTGATGGTTAGTCTTGATTGTCAATTTGATTGGATTGAGAAATGCTCAAGAAATTAGTAAAGTACTGTTTTGGATGTGTCTTTGGTATTTTTCCAGAGTTGACACAATTATAAGGGTTCTAATTTGAACAGGAGGTCAGTCCATTCATAAGTTCATAATGTGATAGCATCATAAGGAAGTGATGGAAACAGCAGGTGGGGACAGGGTGGAGGGAGTGGATCATGGAGGCATGATCCTAGGAACTATAGCTGGTTCCTGCCCCCTTTCTGATTCTTCACTGTTTCTGCTTCCAGACTGGCAGAAGGTGAATAGCTTTGCTTAACCATGCTCAACCATCCTACCTAAGGTCTACAGGAATGGAATCAGTCAACCATAGACTGAGACCTTTGAAACAATAAGCCAAAATAAACCTTTCTTCCTTTAAGCTTTTCCCCCAGATATCTTGTCACAATGATGGAAAGCTGACCAATACGCCTATTCATTTGAAGAAATTCACAACATGTCATTATATATAAAAAACTGTAGACCAAATCCTACAAGTATGATCCTATTTTTTGTTATTAAAAATAGAGAAGGTATGGTTCCGCCACCTGCCTCACAAGTGCAAGGACCTGAGTTTGATCCCTGGTTAAAAAAAAAAAGAAAAAAGAAAAAAGAAAAGGCATACAAACATGTACATGTGTCAACACTTAGATTTCAGTGTTAACGATAAAGAACATCTGAATAGATACACATCAAAGTGCTAACAGCAGTGGCCACTTTACTGTAGGATTACAGAATAGTGCATGGGGAAGTAGGTAGAGGGAGGTATTCTTCCATGAGAAGCAAGTTCAGGCAAGAAGATACATAGGAGACAGCCAGGACTCTACAGCCAGACTACCAGAGTTCAAGTCCTAGGTCTGGCACTTACCACACGTGTGAGCTTAAACACACACCTAACACCTCTTGAGTAGGGGATTATTTAATCTTTTTCCTGCCTTAGGTTTTTCATCTGTAAAAAAGTTTTAATAATAGTTTCTACCTCTCAGGGTTTTTGTAAAGACAGAATGAGTTTACACACATAAAACATGTAAAGCAGTACTTCAGATATAGTGCTAAAACGCTATAGTTGATATTACTTAATTTAAAACAATACAAAAGGGTGGGGGATGTAGCTCACTGGTAGAACACTTGCCTAGCACGCATAAAGCCTTGGGCTCTAAGCACTGTTAAAAAAAAAAAAAAAAAAGTGAAGACATTAATGCATCCTTTGGTGAAAGAGATAATGGATAATGTATCTCCCTGAATTTAACCTCTTGCAATGTCTTTTTTTATCTTGTAATTCTGATCCGTTACTATGCATGCCCATAGTCCCCACTGGGAAATCACTATTTGTGGTTACTTTATACATGACATTTATGCTTATTTTAGGGAAATGTTTCTAAATGAGACATTCTAGATACCTAGGATTAAAGCCTCTTTTGTTTATCTTATATGGCACATATACTATGCTCTGAAAAATTCTGTCTTACCTGTTCCAGGAGGTCCTTGAATGATAGCTAATTCCCTTGTAAGAGCAAACTGCAAGGCTTCCATCTGGGAGTCATCCAGCTTCAGGGCTTCTTTTGAGGGCCACTGGTTAAGGTCTAAGACATTAACTTTAGGACGTCTCAAGCCCTCAGGAGTCCTCCAAGATTCCCCAGTAGTGGATGGATTCTCTATTAAGGGGGTGAAATCATATCTGCCCCCCATTAGCAAGTATCTTGGCTCTTTCACATAAGAGTCACATTCCACGATATTCCTCTGGAAGGGGACATCTTCCTCTTGGACCTCCTGGAGTCCTTCCAGGACATGCCTGTATGCCTCAAAGTATGCTGTTGTTTCCACCATGAGGAAAGAATCTGAGGGCTGGACTTCTGCAAGCAGCTGTTGGCTCTGCTCATTGAAGCAGAGCTGGACAATTCCTCGGTAGAGATCTTCTTGTTCCCGGTTAGAAACAGTGGCAAAAAGAAATGTTTCAAAGTTGTCCTTGGACATGCATACCAAGGACCCATACAGCAATCGCTTAGAATTCTGCCAGCGCACAAACTTCAGAGGTTTTGTGTCAAATTGCACCTTATAGACAATGCCTGATGATGAACACATGGGAGTGATAATCCTGGTATCAAAGTAGATTCGGATGTCATCAAACTTTCTCTTCCTCAGGCACTGGTCTTCAAAGCTTTGGAGAAGTTCCAAAATGCCTTCCCGCAGGGGTCTGACAAAATCTTCTCTCAAGAGGCGGAAATGGGTATCCAGATAGACAGCAGTGCTATCATATTTTCCAGAAATGATGTTAGGGCGAAGGAAGGGCCTCTCATCCAAGTGTACTTCATTGTAGGTGGGGTAAATGGGCATGGTTCGGTAGCTCTCAACCTGGCCTTCTGCCTCAGGCTGCACTAGAGTGTAGGTGTCCACTCTCAGAGTGCCTTCTCGTCTCTTTTCCTGTAGATGTTCAATGATGGTCTGCACCTTTTCCAGATTCTTCTCTATCTCCTCTTCTATGTCAACACCAGAGGCTCTCAAGGCATTAAGAGAAGCTGGCAGGAGAGAAATGAGCATGGAAGTTTCCTGGACAGAGCTGGCAGGAAAGACACTTAAGAGTTCCTGAAGAAGGGAGATGATATTGCTTATGTGTTCTGGATACCGGTTTCGAATGTCAGGGATTGGTTCAGTAATCATCCTTACCACATAAGCAGGCAGGCAAACTCTGAGGAATTTGGAGTTCTTCAATATACCGAGTACGTGAAGAATGCTCTGGCGGTCCATTCTGGAGCTGCAAGCCTTCCGAAGAACCTGGCAGATGAGCTCAAGGAAGTTGGGTTTCATGGAAGAATGAGACAGGAGCTCCTTCAGCCCTAAACTTGTGGCTAGTGTGATGACCACCTCAGAGGGGTCTTTCTGCAGAAGACTTTCTAGGAACTTATAGCCCAGTTTCTTTACTTGCTGTGGCTGTTCTGCAGGCTTTTGGTGGGAGGTCCTCCACTGCTGGAAATTTTCATTAGACCATGGTGGTCTGTGGTTCCTACCCTCTTGGTTGTCATTTCTCCACCGGGCATCATTGTCCTGACCATGTCTTTGGCCTCTAGCTTCATTACCACTATGCCCCTCCTGGTTCCTTCTTCCTTGATGTGGGTTCCTGCCCATGGCCCTAAATCTTTCTTCCCTTTGCTGGTGAGGAACAGGATAATTGTTGGCTCTAGGATGCCTTCCAGGATGATTGGCTTCTCCTCTGAGAACATTAGCTGGTGGATTATTGGCCTGATTTCTAATTCTTGGTGGTAATTCTCCATCCATAGGTCCTAAACACAATGTAATAATGGGTAAGAACAAATTCAAGGGACAAGAAAACCTAATGGGACAATAATGAACATGTTTTCATTTTTAAAACAACTAAGGAGTTTAGTTTTTACTTAGCAGAGAAAAACAGTTTCCTACCAAGTTGTGTAATAAATGATAGGGCTCAGTGGTAGAGTACATGCCTAGTTTGTGTGAAGCCCTGGGTTCAATACTTAAACCCTTAAAAAAAAAACTTTATTATTGCTGTGTAGATTATGAAAATGTTATTTCCCCAAAGGAGATAAAAGAATAAACATTTGTTCAGTGTCTAATACATATCAGAGAATACATATGTGCAAAATTTCATTTAATTTTCACAAGCCAGGACTTAAGTTTCAGAATTAGCTCATTAGTTCGTTTCTAGCCAGTATCAAACTATAGTCAAATTATGAACTGCGAAGCCAAAAGATCTGGTTCAAATCTTGGCTTGGCCATTACCTCATTGTGTAACCTCGGAATCTCAGTGTCTGGCTTGGTACAGATTACATGTTTACACAAAATGCACAGAACAATACCTGACATGTGAGCAGCTCTCAGTAAATCTTAGCTATTACTAGTAGTAGGAGCAATAATTTTATTGGGAATACCCTATTAATTCCTGTAGGTGCTGGTTCTGCTGAACAGTTATCATAGGTAACAGAGACCTCAAATTGAATGAAAGTATGAAGGGAAATACTACCTGAAGTTTGTCCAGTAGCAACACACGTAGTGTGAAAGGGGAAGACAGTGCTTTCTCTATCAAGATGTTTTTTCAGCTAATTAACAGGTGGTGAAGTGAAATATGGATTATCAAGTTTTGTCTTGGGAAACTGAAATATGAACCTGAACATTTGATTTAGGAAACTGAAAATGAAACTCAATTTTTCCTCTTTCTGTAACATGGGTTCATCTACATGGCACTTTTGATTAACACCACATATACAAGAAGCTGGGGAGAGGAGGGTGGTGAGAACAGACTCAGTACATGCAGGAATGCTAATATCACTCTGGGTGAAACCAAACTCCTCCTCTTGTTCTGCCACACATTTCATAAGCCACTTTGTTCAACACACCCAAACTCCAGTTTTTTTCACTTTCTTCTTTTTTGGGGGGAGTACCAGGGATCAAACTCAGGTCCTTGCACTTGCAAGGCAGGCGGCACAACCACTGAGTTAAATCCCCCCCCCCCGCCGTCTTTTAAAACTGACTCTGGAGCTGATTTAACTTAACAGAATAATATGGAGATATTTAGCAAAATATAAATGATGAACACCTAGACTAGAATGTTTTTATAATTGTTATCTTAATATTTACTTTTCAAAATCCCAAAATATTAGAAGAAAATCCTACTTTTAATATTTTGATCTTATTAATGGCTGTACCTTGAAGGAATGGAAAACTGTATCATTTCTCATTCTGCAAACATCCACATAGTCTTTAAGATAAAATCCCACAGCAGTTCATTTGTTCCATAGTTAAAATTTGAAAGACATGTTGCAAATTTAAGAAGAAACAGGACAATAATGATACAGTGTATTAAATACTGCTATTCTCTTATCATTTTGTGGTGAAATTTTTGTTTCATAAAGAAAAACAGGAATTTTGCAATAAAAGTTCTGAGCAAACAGTAATTCTGTTAGTAGAGTAATGCTCTTGGAACTAACTTTGATTTGCTAACTAGTATTCCAGATGTGCTCTATTTAATATACAGCCACTTACCACTTGTGGCTAATATTTAAAAATTTGAGGGCCGGGGATTTAGCGCAGTGGTGCTGCCACCTGCCTGGCAAGCATAAGGACCCAAGTTTGATCCCTGGTACCAAAAAATAAAAATAAAAACAGAATTTGAGGGGAAAGAAAAACATTAAAATTACTAATGTTTTATGATATAATGTATATTCATTTACAATATGATAGTATTTTGGATACATTAAATAAGACATTAAGTCATTGTTTTATTAATATTTAGGTTTAAAATTTTTTCGTCTCTTTACTTTTTTGAATGATGCCACTAAAAAATTAAAAATTACATTTTTGACTTATATTATGTTCCTACTACATAGCAATGTTCCAAACCAAGAGTTCCATTTCTGATACTCCATCACTAGTTTTTTGTTTTTGTTTTTTTGGTACTGGGGATTGAACTCGGGTCCTTGCGCTTGCAAGGCAGGACACCGAACCGCTGAGCTTAATCCCCAGCCCTCCATCTCTGTTTTTGATCAAGCGAACTGTTCTCATTCATCACTTCTCTCAGGCAAAGGAGCGAGAAGGCTTGTTTTTCAGTCATTCAAGCCACAGCTAAGAAATGTCTCTCCCCTAACCCCAGGGGGAAAAAAAAAACCCAAAACCCAGGGTGCTCTACCACTGAGCTACATTTTCCAGCCCTTTCTTAATTTTTAATTTTGATTTTTGCTTTATTTGGTTGAGACAGGGCTTCACTACATGTGAGATGGCATCAAAATTGTAGTGACCCTCCTGCCTCAGGCTCTCAAGTGTTGGGATTACAGGTGTGCACCCCTACGCCCAGCTTAATTTTTTGAGACAGGGTCTCACTATGTTGCCCAGGCTGGTCTTGAACTTGCAATTCACCCGCCTCAAATTCCCGAAGAGCTGAAATTATAGATGTGTGCCACCATACCTGGTAAGACATTCTTTACTTGAAAGTTATTTAACTAGGTAGGCCTGGTTCACTCACAGGGAACCCATTTTCTCTTATTACTTAGAATATCCTTCACTAGGTGGGAAATTTTACTTACCTCTGTGGTTAGTATGGGGATTCCTGGGACTGGCTTCCAGATGAGGCCTTCTGTCCTCCATGTCTAAGTCACTTGACTTCTTTTACATTCACCTTACTTTCTTTACCCGAACTGCACAGGTTAAGAATTATCAGTGCTGGGCTGGGGATTTAGCTCAGTGGTTATGCCGCCTGCTTCACAAGTAGAAGGTCCTGAGTTCAATTCCCGGTACCAGGGGGGAAAAACAAAGAATTATCAGTGTACTTGAAATACAACATCTAGCAGAAAAACCCAAAGGCCATCAAGCCAGTCTTTCTGCCTGTACATTTTAATGACTTATCCACCAAGAGTTAAATGTTTTAATGAGCACAAGTGCTTGACTCTGTTAACACTCAATTATGATACAAAACATTAATTCACAATGTAGATGATTTCAAAGGGTAAGATTCTCTTGTTCATTTACTCTTGCATTTTCTTCAGGTATAGGGACTGTCATTAATTCACATCTCAAAAAGAACTGGTTTATGCCTTAGCCAAGTTACTTAATCAGTTGTTAGGTTTGATTTTCCTTTTCTACAAGGCAGACAAACAGTAGACCCCTGAGTTATGACCAGCCTGCCATGCGAACAACTTGGGTTACGACTGGAATTTTAGTTCTGACTTATAATCAAAGTCTCAAGTTGCAGCCCCAATGCTAACTGCTTGTTATGGTCACCGATACAGATTTAACCCTTTAAGAGTTCTGGAAGGTACACTACATCTTTTCCTGTGTGGGTTAAATGAGAAATCCTGGGCCAACTGAGAAACCCTATCTCAGTGTTTAAAGACACTGAGATCTGCCTGTATACAGGAGAGAGACTGTGAAGGCTGTGCAGAGGAGCCTGAGCCTTCCACTAACCAACGTGAGTTATAACCAGCCCTTATGAACAAACTGAGCTTGTAAGGGCAAAAGGAATACATTTCTATTACCCCAAAAGTATGTATTTATCACCCCACTTGACATTTATATTTATAGTACTCTATAGCTTGCAGTCCCCTATAGTTTAAAAATAATTACTGAGCAGTTATCCTTACTCTTTGGAACACAGCCAAATAATTAAACCCTTAGCTCTTCTGTATCAAGAGAAAGAAATTACATGTTTCAATAACTAGGAGGCTACAGAGTGCTGTTTCCTCAGGACTAGCTAGAAACCTGCAATCTTTCCTGTTTCTTTCATCTTGATGACATTTTTGACACAGGTTCTGTAAGAGGAAGCCCCTTTAAGGGAACTTTTTGATCTAACTCATGCATTATCACGTGGGCTGAGGCTAGGAAAAAAGTAGGTGACTCAGTCCTCAGCAAAGGGATTTTTGAGACTGTCCTCATGCTGTCTTAAAATATTCATAGTCAGAAACTGTGAATAGATTTGGCATGATCTAAGAGTCAGTTTTATCTTCTTTGGAAAAAGGAGTCTCTTTCTGCTCCCTGTGGGGATATTTTTGGTGAGTCTTCTCTCTCAATTTATCAAATCCTGTTCTCATGGTACAGGTCCAATATTTAGAGTTGTTTTTGTTTTGTCTTTTTAAATTTCCTGAGGGGAAATCCCTTCTTCTTCTATTTGAAAAATTCTAAAATAGAAACCCAGAAATAGAAGAAAGGAAAAAGAAATATTAGAGAGAAAAGGAAAGGAAGAGTGCACAAGGGACAGGAAATGCTATGACAAAAGAAGACAAAAGTGGGGGTTTCTTGGGAAACCAAGACTGAAATGACAGGAAGAAGATCAGTAATGGTCAAGTGGGTTTAGGGATAAGAATTAGAAGAAAATAGTATTACCAGGGTAAGATGAAAGCGGCTAAAGCTGGATGGAACACCTTGATTGCAGGGAGTCTTGAGAGGGGTCACTAGCACATTGGAACCACTAGTTCTTGCATGAAACATCATGGGATTCAGGGACAGCCAAGGCTGGGTGGCAATTTTATGAAGGGAGGTGCCCGTCCCCAGGACAAGGCAGAGTTGGAGAGGTATGGGAGCTTCAAGAGGATGAGGCCAAGTGCAGGTGGGGAGTGATTGCTGAAAAGACGGGGAACTTCAGCAAGGATGAGAACGCTGAAGATGGGGGATGAAGGAGGCCAGAGGAAGATGAAAGGGGTGGCTGAGGCAGGATGGGAGGGCAGACGTAGGGGTGAAGAGATGGTGTTGGTGAGGCCAAAAGGAGAGGTGGGCGACAGGTGCTGAGTGACGGTACAAGATGCATAATGGTGGTGCTGGCACTGAGAAGCTGAGGGGACGGGGTTGCAAAAGGTAACAGGTGCTGAGGGGACGACAGGGGTGTTAAGCAATGAGGCGATAGAGGCACTGGAGAGACAGGAACTCTGGAGGGGGATGATGGAGGTTGAGGAGGTGACAGGAGTGCTGAGGACGGTGACCGGGGCTGAGTAGGTGACAGAGGCACCAAGGAATTGAGAAGGTACCAGGGGGCGCTGAGGACAAAGGGAGAGGGACTCTGATGGAGGTGAAGGGCACTGAGGAGCTGAGAAGAGGGGACAAGGACTCAGGGTGGTGATGGGGTTGAGGGAGCGACAGAGGCACTGAGGGCAGGACAGGGAAATCGAGGGGAGATGATGGGGGCTGGGGGCAACACAGGCACTGAGGACAGAGCACCGTAATTGACGGTGATGATGGGAGCTGAGGGGTAACAGGCGTTAAGACCCTCGGACTCAAGGTGCTGATGGGAGTTGAGGGGGAGACAGGGGTGCTGTGGACAAGGGGACAGAGACTCTGAGGGAGGTGACGGGGGCCGAGAAGGTGACAGGGTTTCCTGTGGGTGATGACGGGAGTTGAGGAGGTGACAGGGATACGGAGAAAGACTGAGGGTGGTGACAGGGGCGGAAGGGGTGACGAGCGCTAAGGGGATAGGGACCCCGAGGG